CGTGGACGCGTGCCGGAAGCGCTCCCGGACGGGCTGCTGGGACCGGCGACATGCCGCGGCGACTCTGGAGCGCCGTGGAGGAGCTGCTGGCGGGCACCACCACCGTCCGGCTTCTAATCTAAGACCCTATCGCTCCGAGCTCTCCGGGAAAAACCCGGAGAGCGAAGAGGCACTCGCACTGGCAAGCTTTCCTGAAGAGCTCTGGGGAGCTCCGAAGCGCTTCAGAAGCGCTGCCGGGCACGCTTCCACGCGTGCCTGCACGGGTGCAGGCACCGGTGGACGCGCGCCGGAAGCGCTCCCGGACCCGCTGCGACCCCAAACAAGCCCCTGCGGGGATTCTGGAGCGGCGAAGATGGGCTGCTGGCGGGCACCACCACCGTCGGGCTTCTAATTCAAAACCCTATAGCTCTCAGAGAGCTCTCCGGGAACAACCTTATGTAGCCCAAGAGGCCATCCGGGAAAACTTCGCGTGACAGAGCTCTGGAGACGCTGGAAAGCTTCCCTGCGAAGCTCTGAATACTCTGGAAAGCTTTCCGGAAAAGCCCGGGGGGCTCTCCTGAAGCGCTTCTGAAGCGCTGCCCGCGACGCTTCCGCGCGTGCCTGCGCGCGTGGACGCGTGCCGGAAGCGCTCCCGGGCACGCTGCGAAGTCTTACAAGTCGCTGCGGGGATCGTCCTCACCGCCAAACCCCGGCTTCTTCTCTGAAGCCCTCAGCTCAAACGCAGCCACGCACGCGGTTTAGCGTGCGTGGAGACGCTGGAAACCTCGCGTGGCGGCGCTCTGGAGACGCTGGAAAGCTTCCCTGCGCAACTCTGAATAATCTGGAAAGCTTTCCGGAAGAGCTCGGGGGGGCTCTCCTGAAGCGCTTCTGAAGCGCTGCCCGCGACGCTTCCACGCGTGCCTGCACGCGTGCAGGCACGCGTGGACGCGTGCCGGAAGCGCTCCTGGGCACGCTGCGAAGTTTTACAAGTCGCCTCGGGGATCGTGGACCGGCGATGATGGGCGCGTCCCCCTCGCCACCCACCTCCGGCTTCTGCTCTGAAGCCCTCAGCTCTCCAAGGAGCTATCCGGGAATTCCTCTGGCTCATCGATAACGAAGAGCTCTACGTGGTACGCTGCCCTCGGTGGAGAATCGCTTGCGAGAGCAGCCACTCGATCCCTTGGTGGAGCTGCCACGGAACGCTGCCCAGGGAGGAGGAACCGCATGCAAGAGCAGCCGCAAAAGCGTTCGGTGGAGCCCCCCACGGGGCCACGAAGCCTTCTTGCCCAGGGTGGGGAAATGCATGCGAGAGCGGCCACTGGGGCCTTCGGTGGAGCTCTCTATGGGGTCACGAAGCGATGTCATGGGCGGGGGAAACGCATGCGAGAGCAACCGCTGGGGGCTTCGGTGGAGCTCCCTGCGGGGCCACGAAACGCTGCCCAGGGTGGGGGAAACGCATGCGTGAGCGGCCACTGGGGCCTTCGGTTGAGCTCCCTCTGATGCCACGAAACGCTGCCCAGGGATGGGCCACGCATGCGAGAACAGCCACTGGGGCCTTCGGTGGAGCTCCCTCTGGGGCCACGAAGCGCTGTCATGGGTAGGGGAAACGCATGCGAGAGCAACCGCTGGAGGCTTCGGTGGAGCTCCCTATGGGGCCACGCGGCGCTGCCCAGGGTGGGGGAAACGCATGCGAGAGCAACCGCTGGGGCCTTCGGTGGAGCTCCCTATGGGGCCGCGAAGCGCTGCCCAGGGTGGGGGAAACGCGCGCGAAAGCAGCCGCTGGGGCCTTCGGTGGAGCTCCTTGTGGGGCCACTAAACTAAACGCTGCCCAGGGTGGAGGAAACGCATGCGAGAGCAACCACTGGGGCCTTCGGTGGAGTTCCCTATGGGGCCACGCGGCGCTGCCCAGGGTGGGGGAAACGCATGCGAGAGCAACCGCTGGGGCCTTCGGTGGAGCTCACTATGGGGCCACGAAGCGCTGCCCAGGGTAAGAGAAACGCGTGCGAGAGCAACCGTTGGGACCTTCGGTGGAGCCCCCCCGGCGGGGCCACGAAACGCTGCCCAGGGTGGGGGAAACGCATGCGGGAGCAGCTACTGGAGCCTTCGGTGGAGCTCCCTATGGGGCCACGAAGCGCTGCCCAGGGTGGGGGAGACGCATGCGAGAGCAACCGCTGAGGCCGTCGGTGGAGCGCCCTATGGGGCCACGCGACGCTGCCCAGGGTGGGGGTAACGCATGCGAGCGCAGCCACTGGGGCCTTCGGTGGGGCCCTCTATGGGGCCACGAAGCGCTGCCCAGAATATGGGAAACGCATGCAAGAGACACCGCTGGAGCCTTCGGTGGAGGTCCCTATGGGGCCACGAAGCGCTGCCCACGGTGGGGGAAACGCATGCGAGAGCAACCGCTGAGGCCTTCGGTGGAGCTCCCTATGGGGTCACGAAGCGCTGCCCAGGGTGGGGGAAACGCATGCGAGAACAACCGCTGGGGCCTTCGGTGGGGCTCTCTATGGGGCCGCGCGACGCTGCCCAGGGTGGGGGGAACGCATGCGAGAGCAACCGCTGGGGGCTTCGGTGGAGCTCCCTATGGGGCCGCGAAGCGCTGCCCAGGGTGGGGGAAACGCATGCGAGAGCAACCGCTGGGGGCTTCGGTGGAGCTCCCTATGGGGCTACGAAGCGTGTGAAAGGTGCGCCGAGAGCAAAAGCAAGGAGGGGGAGGAGGGAGGAGGGGGAGGAGGAGGAAGGAAGGAGGGAGACGCGGGGCGCTCTCTCTTCAAAACGAGGACCCAGCACCACAGTTTTTTTGGATATAATTGTTTTTTTTCTAGAATTTTCAAACTGACATTCGAGAACGCTGTCTTCTCGGAATCTGCTCACTATTTGCGTGTTAAGAGCTCTAAGAGGGTCCGGCGGTAACCTGGTTGACGGACGCTGTACCGCCGGCTCCCAGCTTCAGATTAAAAGCCAGACGGTGGTGGTGCCAGCCACCAGCTCAGCCCTCGCCGCTCCAGAAAACCTCGTAGAGCTCTTCAGCATCGATAAGCTGGAGAAGTTCCGGCGCTTGGTGGAGCTAATTGGCTCCCCGGCCAGTGCGGACAATGTGGGAACCTTGGGTCGGTTTTTCGGAGATTGTAAGAGATTTGGCCGCTCGTTTTGGGAACCCCGATTTTCATGCCCTGTAGTCGATCATGGCGCTGTTCATGGTGAAATTCTCGGGGTCGTAGCTGCAGCGCTGTTTTCGAAAATTCGAAGTAGCCGTCGGCCGTCGGGATGAATTTTTCAGATGGTAATGGTTTCGTGAACTTGACTCGAGCTGGAAGCAAGCTACACAGATCGTATATTTTTGCACCTGTAATAGGTTATGGCGCGTCGGCCTGTCGAATTCTCAGGTCCGTGACTGCAGTGCAACTATCGGAACACTTGGCGGAACCAACCTCGTACAACACCGAAAAAATACAAGATTCAAGTTTATATGCTGATATTGAAGTAAGCTTTCTGGTCGTATTCTGAACGCTACTTTTGCGTGTCAAGAGCTCCGCGAGGGTTCCGGCGGTAACCTGGTTGACGGTTTACCGCCGGTTCCCAGTTCTCGGCGCGGCTTGTCTTACCTTGCAGCAGATCCTTGAAGCTCCCCCGCCAATAAGTTCGCGTAGAACGGCTCCCAGACGTCTCTCCAACGCCACCAGCGAAAACTCTCGCACCAATCGTTCCTGTGGAGCGTCCCCCTGACGTTTCTCCAGCGAACCCAGAAGTTCGTCAGCTGGTCGTTCGGAAGCTCTCTCAAGGTCCTGCCCGCTTCCTTCGCCAGGCCTTCCCACGCAATACCTCCTAGAGCTCATCGGCATGCCTCGTTGAGCTCTCCGGCGTCGATGAACCGTAGGAATCCCGGCGCGGGGTGTAGCCTATAACTCGTAGAGCTAGCTTTTCGGCGTCGATGAGCGAGAGGGATTCCGGCGCGGGATGGAGCTAATTGGCCCACCCGGCCGGGGCGGACAGTGTGGTGACCTGGGGGCGTTTTTTGAAGATTATGCGATATTTGGCAATTCTTTTTGGGAGTCCAGATTTTTATTCCCTGCAGTCGATCATGGTGCGTTCCGTGGTGAATTCTCAGGGCTGTAGCTGCAACACTGTTTTCGAAAATTAGGAGCAACCGTCGGCCGTCGGGATGCATTCTTCCAGATGATCCTGGTTTCGTGAACCTAATTCCAGCTGGAAGCAAGCTACGCAGTTCTTATATCGGTTGCACCTGTAAAAGGTTATGGCGCGTCGGCCTGTCGAACTCTCTGGTCCGTAGCTGTAGTATTACTATTAGAATTGGCGGAACCCACTTCGTACACAACCGAAAACAATGCATTTTCGAGTTTTCAAGCTGATATTCAAGTAAGCTTTCTCGCCGTTTTCTGAGTACTATTTCGCGTGTCAAGAACTCTACGAGGGTCCCGGCGGTGACCTGGTTGACGGTTTACCGCCGGCTCCCAGTCTGAGAATGTCTGGAGGGCCTGCAAAATGCGAGAACGTCTCTGAGAAACGCTTGCCAGGACGCTGGAAACGGGAAGCGCGGCGTGCTGGAGTGCCTGCGTTTCGTCGCGAACGTCGTGCAAGCGCCGTTCATTTGCGCGGCGCCCCCCGGTCTGGGCCGTGGCGTGTCGACTGGGCGGGCGAGCACTGGCCCGCGCGCAAGCACTGCGACCACAAGAATGTCCACCCCACGTGCGCGGAGGAACTGGAACGGACCATGCGCGCGCGGCTGACGGGCCAGTAGGCCGTGGGCCTTGAAATGCGCGAGTAATTCATGGCGGCAAATCAATCCTCTTCGCGCAGGCGGCGCGCGGGCTGGGGGCCGCGAGCGGCCTGATTGCCGCCTGGGAGGAGGCAAGGCGGCTGTCGGCAGGCGAAGGCGATGAAGAATCTGATGACCTAGGCCGCGGGTGGGCCCGCGTCGGAACGGGGCGTGGAGCCAAAGATGTTCGTGAACGCGGAAACGTTTGGGCCCTGGCGCTCGGGGGCTCGGACTTTTCCGTCGGCAGGCGGGGGAAGGCGTGGTGGGCGGAGCTGTCCGGGGGCGTGGAAGGCGACCCGGACTCACTGCGGGTCTGCGACCACGAGACGGTCGTCGATCTGTTCGCCAGGACGCTGTCGGAGATCCAGCAGGGCGTGGCTGCGGTTGCTGGGATTGGCTCGGGCGGTTGTGGCGCCAGATGCGTCGGCGGAGTTGGTGGGCGTGAAGGATCTCGTGAAGTGGTTGCGGTGGTGGGCAGGGAAGAAGACCGTGCTTCGCGGGGGGGCGGGCCTGGACTCGGAGGCCGTGCTCGACGACGTGCGCTTTGAGGTCGGCATCGCGGCCGCCTGGGGAACGGGCTCCCAGGGCACTGATGCAGGCGGTGTGGAGCACCATGTGGGTTATGAGGACGAGGAGGCCGAAAATGCTTGCCCGGCGGAGGGGCTCGTTCGCGGGTGGCCCAGCAGGGCCACGTAACTGATGGGCGCATTCAGCCAGTGGTCAAGGGTGAAGGCTCAAAAAAGTTCCAAGGCTCCACAACCCAACTCCTCAGACACTGATCCCTTGCATCCCTGTTTCTTCTTCTGCCTACAATTTACTTATGCACCGCATCTCTTTGCCAATCATCTGAGCATTGGCGTGGGGGGACCACTGCCACTGGCATGCCTGGGCATCTTTCCCGGGCGCTGGGGCGGGGACCAGCAGCAATGACCTGATACCACATGGGGGGTACTTTCCTTAGGTTGGCTCAGGGGGCCCAATGCCGACTCGTTTGCAAACCTATCTAACATACGGAAGAACTGCCGTATGGCTGCCACACTGCACGGACACGACCACCACCGCGAATTCGACGGGCGGTTCCAGCACCAACTGCGCGATGACGTTGTGCGGCATGACCACGACAGCCACGCGGTCAAAAAATACGACAATGCTTCCGCGATCGACGGATGGCCCCTGTACACGCACGGGGACGATGGACGGCACGGCCACTGCGGCTAGTAGCATCAGACACACGACGGCTACGACAAGTTCGGGGAGTGGTTGTGGTACCATCACTGCAACGACGCTCAGCGTCGCGACTACAACGGCCACCAACTGCAAAGATCGACAACCAACACGACGGCCACCAAGTCTGGGGATACAGCTGCCGCTCCGAATCCGCAGAATGAAAGGCACGCCGCTGAGCGTCGCGACTACGACGGCCAACAGCTCCAGCGACTCGATGACCACCACTTGTGCGACGACTGCCTCTGGTATCAGCGGCACGACCCCGATGGGCGGCACGAAATGTGCACCTGCTTCAACGACAATGCGAATATGATCGAAACCGTTGGCGGCCCTTGCACCGACCCCAATGACAATACCGTCGCCAGCACTCGCAACGCCGATGACGCGTCCGCCAATACCGCCACCAACGGCTTTGTAAGCACACGCCTACGGAACCACCGTCGCCAACGCCTACGACACTGGCCTCCAGAAACAAACATGCAACATCCAACAGAACCAAGTACACGACGTCGATCGACGTATTCCCAGCCGAGGCATCATGGACCACGAATTCTAGTTTTGGGAAGCTGCGGGACTGCACGGACGTTGGTATCAACACGCCTGTGCATGGCAAGACAAGCCAATTGATGTTATAAAATCCCGGGGGCAAGCTTTGGTAGAACGGTTTAAAAACTTATGGCATCCGTGGTTGGGGCCTGCATGTGAACACGCAATTTCTGGGTTCCTCGTCCAAGTCTGGAACACGTTCAACAATCAAGATGCTACCAATGTTAGTCTTCCCTGTTCGATTCTGTATCGGAGGGCACCTTTCGAATACATATCACGTATGGTGTCGATGGTACGCGGATGCTAACAACATATGCAAAACCTGCAATTGACTTTACACGAATACGGTGTGAACAACATGTGGTATTACCGCATCCGTATTCGCCTTTACACGGAATCCGCATTGGGGAAACATCAAGTCTAAACCCAATGCAAATGTCTTCAATTTTGGTGTGTTCCGACTCCGGCTCCGACTTCGGTTTCAGGTCGGCCATCGCGTCCGCAACCTCCCACCCATTAGGTGCCCATCATGGTGGTCCAAAACCAGCGCCTGGACGGTCCAGGACGTCCCGCCCACTTCCGACGCCCCATTGCTTCCGCCGCACTCCCAAATCTGCCCACTGCCATCGCTCCAACACATGTGTGCCATGGTCCTACCATTTCACCTGTCGCTGGCATTCCACGCGCGACGGATACACACATTGGACAATGGTTTGACGACGAGGTCACTGTAGCAATCCAGGCATTGGGGATGGGCAATGGCCCTGCGTTGCCGAACACAAGCCGTTATAACCACAATGCTATCCAACGCAGCACAGGCCGATATAGATCGGCGATTTTCATGAGAAGTTAGGGCGGCAACGCTGTCGTCCTGCAATGTGTCTGGCAGTGTCCCGCAGGGTGAAAATTATGGCATCGCGGAGCCATTATCCTGTAGACGACCTGTCTGTGATCCTCCATGCCGCTCTGCTTCGGCTGTTCCAGCCCCAATTGAACCTACAACGCGAGGTCCGCCAATTACGGAGTTCCAAACAAGCATTGATCTTGCACCGTCTCCAGGATCCAATCAGCAATGTATGTACTCATGGCTATGTTGGACAAAATACCAAACGGCACAAATCTGGCACATATTCGAACACAAAATTTGAAACATCGCTGGTCTCAACTCTTCAAATCACTAATCTGGGCAACAACAAGGGAAGAACCAAGACCGGAAATAACTGCGTGGGTGCGCTGGGAGCATGACAAATTCGGCCTCACAATGCAAGGTCAAGGAAGCAAAATAATTACGCGGAACCGCAGGTTGCTGTGAAGCGATGCGCCATGCTTTTCGGCAGTACGGCGTCGAAGACAAATGAGGCGTGGCTAGGTTGTTGGAATCGAAAAAGACAAGTATCAACAGTATTGATGTGTACGGCTGTCTACACGTAGAAATAACAGACTACATCGTATTTTAAATCATACGTGCTGCACGTCATGTATCTGCCTTGGAATGGACATGTTTGGGACTTGCCGCACAACTATAACACACTCCTGACCTCTAGTAATTCTGCTTCATGCCCCCGTAAAGACCACGTCACCGTCCACGACACGCCGACTCAGCAAGGCACTGCGAAGCCGCCCCCGTTGTCACAATACACTCTCTCTCCCTCTCTCTCCCTCTCTTTCTCTCTCTCTCTCTCTCCCTTTCTTTTGTTCTCTCTCTCTCTATCTCCCTCCCTCTCTCTCTCCCTCTCTCCCTCTCTCCCTCTCTCCCTCTTTCTCTCCCTCTCTCTCTCTCTCCCTCTCTCCCTCTCTTTCTCTCTCTCTCTCTCCCTCTCTCTCTCTCTCTCTCAATTTCTTTTTATTCTCTCTCTCTCTCTCTCTCTCTCTCGGTCCTTCTCTCTTCGGCGCTTGCGCGCCGAGCGCGCCGATACGATGCCTGACCCCGCGGACCTACGACGAGGCCGAACTCCACGTCTCCGCCCGATCGGGGATACTTCCGGCTGGCTTAGGCGTCTGTGAGAATCTCGGTATTATTGAAGACCAAGTGTTAACCGAATCCTTTTTTTTGTTTTTGTTCTTTTCTCTCGCAATGAAGATGGACAACTTCGTGACATGGTGGCTCCACTCTGCACACTCCAAATGTTAACCGAATCCGCACATTGAAAATTGTGCAGCTCTGCATCCGGGACCGCTCTTGACGTATCTTCACGGAGTGTTTGGCGACGGTGCGCGCCACAACGGCGGCTCGGGACGAGGGCCACACTTCTGATACATGATGGAATGCGTATTGGCATGGTCTCTGTTAGTGCTACCCCCTAAAATGCTATTGCACCGTGTGTCCCACGGGGGCATAGCGGAAACTCGAGGGCTCAAGAAACGGATCGCTCCATTCGTCAAGGGGGGGCTGAAGGGCTCAAGGGGGGATTCGAACCCCCCACGCTGTACACCACATCCTACACACCCTGCTTCACTTACCTCTTACACTTTCTACCGTTGGCACAACATATTTGTGCTGTCGTCTCGTGTGTCTGCCGCTGCGCCAGACGGCTGGATCAATGGAATGGTGGGATCTACTGGCATCTATCGAATGGCACGGGCTTAGTAATACAGCCTGGGGGTGGGGATCTTGGGCAGCGATCGGCGCCGGAAGATCCAGTCTTGCCTTCCTGTCCACGCTCCCCAGGGAATGCAAGCTGGCCTGGGTACATGCGACAGCCATCTGCTCGGGCGAAAATCCGGTGTACTACTCCGCACCAGCATTTGGGCCGATAGAGGTAAGCTATGGATGGCTCCTTCTAGGAGTGATAAAAGGAGCGTCCTGAGCATGTAATTGATGCTGCCGTGTAATTATGATGTGGAGGCGGACTCCTATAACACTACCGGCTTGGATACCACCAACCCTCCAGCCACAAATCAACCAGGAAGAACATGCGCAACTCAACGTCATGCGACATTTGAAACAACACGGTCCCGGAACATTACAACACTTAGCGACAAACAAAAAAATATTCGAAACGGAATTCCTACGCCGACTGGTTGGATTACCACCCACGGCCCCGACGCGCCATTCGCCGCCCGGGCTGGCAAAAGGAGGCGCTGGGCATCTGCCCACTGGTTTTCAACCGTATTGACCACCGACGCTAGCGTCAGCGCGACGCCAATGCCGATGATGTACGGATACATGGCGCGCCGTGGCTCTGCGACCAATGGTGGTATTATAACGGTGGACATTCAACCTGTGGGTGCGATTTGTGGCAAAACAAATACGGCGATACCATCAACTCTTACGACGGTAAACATCGAATTGGTACCCGAACTGGTACCGATGGCATCGCCGGTTATCCACCAATCCCACGCTATCCGGCATCGACTTGGGATATTCCGACGGCTACAACACTACCACCTTTGACTTCGATGTCTATGGCGGTACGGGGAATAAATGTAATACATAATACGTTCAAGCATGGACCTCCATCTTGGTTCCTTCCCGCATTCATTCCTCCGCCAGCCCTCTCTGCCCCCGAGACGAAGTCCGTCCATCAGAGGTCCCACGGAGGCTCACAAGACAGATGCGATGATAGTCCCATTGGAGGCTCGTGTGGGGGTCCTGCCAGAACATCGGAGGGCAAACTTACCAGCATAAGGCTCCACGATGGCTCCCAAAAAATACCCCCATGTGGCCTCGACACTGGCGTTTCGATCCTCAACCCGATTACACTTCCGACTCCTGCATTCGATCTTCCGACTCTGGCTACCGACGCAACCGTCCCCCCTCCAACTCCGGTTCCGACCACTTATCTGTT